TTTTTTTTTATAGAGGCATGCTTTATTTATTTGTTTGCTGGTTTCTTTGTTTGTTTTGTTTATACATGCACTGGGTACAGTCAGAAGCGCGGGAGGGCGAGAGAATTCACCAGAGCCAGAGCGGGGAGCAGAGCAGGCAGAAGGACCGAAGTACACTTCTGAGGGGAGCAGCGGGCGGCAGGAGAGGTCTGCGCGCCATGTGGGACCCTCCTCTGGTGGCCGGGGAGCAGCCGGGGATCGAACCGGCGCCGCAGAGGCCGCGCGCAGCTTCGCAACCCAGCGCTCAACCGCTGCGCCACCGGGGAGGCCCAAGAAATGATAGTTTTTATCACTGCTTTCCTTCAGGATAACTAAGATACTACTATTCTCATATAGCAAAAAAATTATGAAAAGAGAAATCCTACTCCCAGCCAGGTTTTCTTTTGATTTAAAAGTTGTTTGCTTCAGGGAAAAGAGAAACCTCCACTCACTATGAAATTAGGTTATGAAATAGAGATTTGGCTTACAGGAGATTTTCTTCATTATCATCGTCTTGTTCATGCATTTCTTCATTTATATCCTGTTAGCCAAGCTGTGCCTTCTCTTGCCTTTTAAATATGGCTTAGTTTGTCAAATGCATGGGCTTTTAGATATGTAACAGTCTGAATGCTGTAGTTTAAAGTACTATCAGACGTAGGCCTTTCAAAGAGATGGTCCATTTAAGTTACTATTTTCTTCTTCTACAAATGAAGCATGATCCCACCTTGAGATTTTTCTGTTCGTTCATTCTTCTGCCTGGATTGCTGTCCCCCCTACTCGTTGAGGTCCTTGTCTTCTTTTAGGTGCAACTCAAATGTCATCCATTACATCAAGGAGCACTCACTCCAGCCCCTCTTGTCACATCTCCTTGTTCCTTTTTAGCCTGTTTTGGGGCAGTTTCACTGTCCATTCAGGGAAACGGATAAAGGAGAGTCCCAGAGCCCTCGGTGGTTTTTCACAGGTCTTTAAGGCCCTCTCTGGGAACCAGGTGCACAGGCACACCAGGCAGTGGGGCAGGCATGGGCCCGGCAGATGGGGTGGGAGGCAGGCAGACTCCCAGCGCCCCATGAATTTTTGCTCTTTCCCTTATGTTCTCAGTCTCGTGTCTTCTGGTAGTCTTGCCTCAGCATCGTCCCTGCGGCTATAGTCCCGTCTCAGAGTGACGCTGCCCTTTGTATTCCTGGCCTCTCCCCACAGGTGCCCACACTTGCACACACACACTCCCATGCTCCCTGGGCCCAGGTGCCCACAATCATGGGTGCAGGTGCCTCGTGGCCACACCCCTCGGCCTGGGCATCCACACTAGTGGCAGAAAAAGCCTGATAACTTTTTTACCCTACACCTGTATTACCAAGTGTGATTGGTTTGTTTGGTTCTTTGCACATTCTCATCTTTCCACTAGAATACAAGTTTCATTCTTGAGGATTTTTTGAGGCTTCCCATAGACTTAAAAAAAGATCCATTTCTGTTTGAATTAGCCTGAGTTGGTTTCCGTTGCTTATAGACAAGAACCCTGATTGATCCAGAAATTGGTCCCAAGAGTGGTGACAGGCCTCAGACACCCATGGACGTGTCGGAGATTTGGGATTGGTTACATGGCCTAGGAGGGGGCTTTTTTTTTTTTTCATTTCTTTGTGTGGGTTTCATTAACACACACTGACGTACAGTGCACGTCACTATTGTTTTAAGCACCTTTACATAGGTTCTTTTTTTTATATAATTAATTTTATTTTTATATTCCCCATACAATTGCAACCCCCTTATTTGGACCTCAATCCCTCCCCTCCTGCCCCCTACCCCCCATAGAGTGTCTCTGGTTCATAATTTTTTGTTGATTTTGATTTTCACTTTTTTTTTTTTATAGAGGCATATTTATTTGTTTGTTTGTTTGTTTGTTTGTTTGTCTATACATGCACTGGGTACAGTCAGAAGCGTGGGAGGGTGAGAGAATTCACCAGAGCCAGAGCGGGGAGCAGAGCAGGAAGAAGGACCGAGGTACACTGCTAAGGGGAGCAGCGGGCGGCAGGAGAGGTCTGGTGCCATGTGGAACCCTCCTCCGGGGTCCTGGGAGCAGCCGGGGATTGAACCGGTGCCACAGAGGCCGCGGGCAGCTTCGCAACCCAGCGCTCAACCGCTGCGCCACCGGGGAGGCCCAGTTTTCACTTTCTTATAGTAATTCATTTTCCTGGTCCCTTATTTAAGTTTTCTAGATATACTCTGGTTTCTCTTCAGATCGCATAAATCTTTCGCCTTTTACATAGGTTCTTTTATCTCATCCTCAGTGCATTCCTGAGATGGATTTATTAATAGCTCCATTTTATAGATAAGAAAACAGGCACTTGAAGGGTCATGGGCCAGGTTGAGGACATGAACTTGGCATTAAAGGCAGGGCACACCCTGTTGTTACTGGGGAGTTGGAGTCCGGCGTCCATGGGAAGAGCCTGTGGAAACATCACCTGCGGCACTTTGCGCCCACACTCGGGCTGGCTGTGGGGTCCTGCTGCCGTTGCTGTGCAGAGTTTGGGGATTCCAGCCCTACTGCTGACAGACGGACAGCAACAGGACCAGAACTGGTCCTTTTGGTTAAAACTGGGAACAAAAACATACAGACGTTCTGACTGCCCTGTCATTTCTTACATTAGTAGCCTGAAGGCTGAGCTCGTTCACCGTGAAACTCACTTTCATGCAGCTTGAGCCAAGTCTGTTCTTGCCAGGTTTCCTCCTTGAGAGTTAGGCAGGAGATCAGCTTCCCTGCGCCGTTGTTCAGTGTTCTCTCAAGGGAAGCCCATGTGCCCTCATGGTGCCGTGGCAGACCTGAGGTGTATGGGGGGAGAATTCGGGTGGTGCCTTATCTCCTATTTTTTAAGCATTATTAATTATATTATATTTATTTATACTAATAAAATTTATTAATTAAGCCTCATATAAATACACCCTGTATAAGTTGAATGGCTCATGAAATGATCGTGACCAATGTCAAGAGTTAGCATTTGGGAGAATATACCAACCTCCCAGTGTAAGAGGAGGGCCGGGAAGGAATCAGAACTCTGTCTCCTCTCCTATGCTCTTCAAGTTCAGACACAGCCTTATATCCCTGGCTTTCCTAGAATCTCCTCCTTTCTTGGTCAGATCAGCCAGAGACAATGTAATCATGCACCCCACGATGTGGTACGTTAGGCCAGGGGTCAGCCAACTACCTCATGGGCCAGACCCAGCTTTTTGGTGTGTTTTGTTTGGTGCTGAGCTAAGAAATGTTCTTGAATTTTTAAAAGACTGAAAAATATATGGATAGGTAGCAGAGACAGTAAACACCTCCAAAGCCTAAGATCTTTGCTATCTGACTGTTTTGCAACCATCCCAGGTCAGGTAGGTTCACCGTCGGTTCAGGCAGCTTAAAAGAGAGCCTTGGCACCCTGGTATCATCTTCACAGGTTAGGGGAAACAAGCCAGCAGGGAGACAACAACTTGCGCCCCCCTGCGAACCCGTATATGCTCTCTCCTTTTAGCTGCTCTCTGATGCTCTCCACCGCTCTCCAAAGCACTCTGCGACATGGTCCTCTGCTGCTTTGAGCTGTCCCATGTGATGCTGCCCTTATAGCCTCAGTCTCTCGGCTCAGGTGTGCCCACTTATGCACACCCACACGACAGTCCAGGTGCCATCATCAGGCATGCATATAAGACCACAGGCGTTGATCATAGATGCTAATGGCAGAAGGGCAGATAAAACAGCAGATAAAGCAGCTTCCATTTACCCTACATTGACTTTTTGCAGAAAATGTTTGTTGACCCCTCTGTTTCACCATATTCCTGATCAAGAGTTTCTCCTTAGGGAATTGATTATATCTCCTCTTTCATTTCCTTCTTCTTTTTTTTTTTTTTTTTTTTTTTTGCAGACTTTACTAGAATTTGAATACCTGATGAGAATCTCCTAATGGTTCTCTTCCATTTGCCTTTTAATGGAAATACACTGGTAGTTTTGTATGCCAGCTGATGTTGCTGTGTAACAAATCCACCCCTCCTGGCTTACGCAAACAAGAATATTTTATTTCTCTACAGGCAGAGGGTCAGTTGGGGAGGCCTATTTGATTTAACCTGTTCTCAGTTGAGCAGGGCTCCGCTCTGCGTCTCTCCCTCAGCCTGGACAAGCCCTTCTTGTGGGATGACGGAAGTTTTAGGGAGCAAGCTGACACATAGCATGGTTTCTTGATGACTAGCTTGGGGCTGGTGCACCAAAAATTTTATATTTATCATGTATGATTCTATGTTTTCATAAAAACTGCTGGAAGTTCTATGGATGTCAGAGTGCTGACATAACTAGACAAGAGTCATAATAATCATAGCTGGTGAGATAGTTAATTTGGCAGTTTCACCCGGGATCCATGTGCTAGTAAGCCCTCAGGTGAGTGGAATCAGCTCATTGCAGGGACGGGCCAGTGGGAGACAATGAGGTAAAGTGACCTCGTTGCTTCAAGAATAGCAGTGAGGAGGGATGGGATGCAGTAGGCACGAGGCATGGTTCCAGGCAGAAATGGACTAGAGATTGACCTGAAGTACACAGCCAAGTTACATGTACAGCAGATGAAAGAGTGGACACAAGTAGCTGTGCTAGTTTAGAGAAACAGAATGATGAGGTCAATGTTCTTGCCTCTGCCCTGTTAATGATGCAGTCCTGGCAGGTGTGGTCAACTCAGCCTGAAGGGGAACACCAACAGAGGGGTCATGGTGTTTGGGGCTCCTGGCTATCTGTTTATATTTCTTAATTAAAGGCATATACCTAAAGTGAGGCAGAATGTTTTCTTTTAAGTGGTTATAATCTTCCTACAAAAGAAGCTAACTGAAATCAAGTAGAAATTACAAATGATTGCTAAGACTTTAAAATCTTGTGGAACAATATATTTTCATCAAAGGTGAAGTATCATCAAAAATAACCACAGCCCACTTAATAATTTAATTAATATTGAAATCTTGCAATTTTTTCTTAGCATACATCTGTGGATGGGTACACCGAGCCACATGTCCAGCCTACCAAATCAAGTAGCAGACAGAACATCCCGCGGTGTAGAAACTCCATCACGTCAGCAACAGATGAACAGCCTCACATTGGAAATTACCGTTTACAGAAAACAATAGGGAAGGGCAATTTTGCCAAAGTGAAATTGGCAAGACACGTTCTGACTGGTAGAGAGGTAAGTCTTCCCCCTACCATTCACTCTTTACTTGGACCTCTGCAGAATCTTGTTAAAAAAGCTTCTGGGTGGCTGCTGGTGGGGCTGTAACAGGATGGTTCCAGGTTTTCTGCCCCACCCAAGGGAGGGTGGAGCTGAGCAGGGAGGAGAAGAAGCTAGAGAGGTGACTGGAGAAGGGTGTAGGATGGAGATCAAGAAGGTGAGCTGAAGAAGGCAGAGGAACAGAGAGACGTGCAGAAACTGCACTTGCTTCTTGGCCCTGGACTGGTTGAAACAGATGTTGAAACAGATGTGGGTGAGAGATCCGTGGGGAGAATAACAATGGCAGTTTTTATCTTGATTTTGCTCTTTTCCTCCCAAACTTGTCTTACTGTTTCAGACCCTTTTCTATGGGTCCCTGCTGGCAGTGTTTTAGATTTATGGCAAATTTTCGGCAAATCTTGTTTGGCTGAAATTTTACCCACTAGGGGATAGGTAACTTTGGGTGCTTGCTTTGAAAACTATATTCTTTGTCTTTTCTGTATTGCACACTAATTGTATTAAAGATCCTTTCCATTAAAGGTCTTATATTTTATGTCTTGATGCAGAGGATGGCAGAATCTATTTAGAGCCACTCTCCCTGCCCTTTAACAGGGCTGAGGGACAGTCACAGTTGTGGTCAACATGGAGCATGTGACTGGGGCTGAACAGGTAGAGCACCACCATCACATAAAAGTGATCTTTTAATGTTTAAGGAAGAATCATCACCATAGTAGCATCTCCTATAATCAGGTGCACTGCAGATGCAAATTTCCCAGGCTCTGTCTTCACTGTCTGGTTTCTGACACCCAGGCTTCTCAATGGAGGAGCAGGCAGGGGCAGCTCTTGTTAACTATTGCTTAAGGGATAAATTTGTACACAGGCACCTAGTAATTTTTATCTATTTAGAGACCACATTGAACACATACTATTATGCAGGTGTTATTCTCAAGTAATACGAGAATTGGGTTTCTAAAATGCCATATGTTTTGAATTATATGTGCTTATATATTAAAACTGGCATATTTAATAACACATATTAAATTAATATATTTAGTGATTTATGTATCAAGCTCTCAAAGCAGTAAAACTAACAGGCTGGATTACATAATGTTTACTGGATCTGTTTAGAATATTATGAACGATCTCAGTCATAAAATGTTTTTAATAAGATTTCACATTGTTCTGTCGATATCATCAGGTCCAGTGGAGTTTAGTCCTTTCTGTCCTGGAGCTGCTCAGACACAGACTCTGTTAAGCAGAGACTTAAAGGACACTCATTTCCGCTTTGTCTGCTACAAGTGTGTTCAGGTGTTTGATGGCTCCACCTTTAGCATCATTTTATTCACATAATACTCAATCTGTGCAATTTTTTCTAAGGCCCTCTGCTCTGATAAGTGTTACTTATCAAGGCCGTGAATAAAAGACTAAGGTACATGATGACTTTTACTTCAAAAGTATAAACTTGGAAGAAATAGCAAAGGGATAATATATCATGGACTCAGGATCAAATAGGTTAAAGACTTGTTCAGTGAAATCTATTCTAAGACTGCCAAGTTTCCAAAGCTGTACCACACAGTTATGTGAACACCAAGTATAGTTAAATTACTTACAGTTAGGAGTGAAACAAAAGATGTTTTCTTTGTAAGTTTTTGCCCAGTAGAATATGTATCTCAAATAAAGTCTAACAATTCTCTTTTCTAGGTGGCTGTGAAAATAATAGACAAAACTCAGCTAAATCCTACCAGTCTACAAAAGGTATTTAATTTTTTTAATAGTAAGTAATTAGAATGTGAATTTATTATAAATATATACTTTTAATCCTAACTTTCCTTTTAGGTATGATACTACATTTCATCAGTATGTTTTTAAAAAGGGCATATGAAACATAATATTAAAATATTAAAATATTTAATAATATTTAAATAATATTTACAAGGTAGTTGTTAAAAACCTCTATTCAAATGCATGCACCATATTGAAGGAATGAATATATTTTAACTTAGTAGAGTAAAACTTTATCAAATATTTTGAAGTGCTCAGGATTCTACTTAGTTGAAAATCTGTTTGAATTCATTTTGTTCATAGGTGGGTTTTCCTTTTATTGCAGTATTTGCTTTTCTTCATCCACAAGAACTAGTCTATCAGCTCACTTACAGATGTGAACAAGGGTGAAAATATAAAACAGCAGAGGGAGCAATAAAAGCAATTAGGATGGAGAACTGCCCTGGTTAACCAAAGCTGTTTCATGTTGCTTCATTAACTAGGTGGGAAAATGTTCTCAGATACACGTTTTAGTACCTGAAAACTGGAGCAAATATTCCAACACCTACCCCATGTATTGTTTTTATATAGTGAAGTAATATACATTGTGACTTTGTAAGACTGTAATGGGATCATAGTCACATATGTGCATGTGACATATATAATGCTGGATTCCTAAATCAGGAGAACCTTATCATATGAAATGTTTAGTATGATGTTTGCACCTGCTTTGATTCTTACTTAATTAAAATGTACTTACTGAGATTCTTTTAAATTTGACAGCCAGTGTAACTTTTTATAGCACTGGATCTTCCATCAGTGAGAACATGAAAGGTCTGTGGGTACTTTTTATTGTGTGAGTGTGAGATTATTTACCTTATGGGTCTCTCTGGGAGAAACTTCTGGTCTTTCACCTAATCATGTGTAGCTGTGTGAGTTATCCCAGGATGCCATTTTTTTTCCTTGGGTTGGAGCGACGGGGATACAAGTTTTTGCTTAAACCACTGGGAATCTCTTAAAATGCCCAAACTGTGTAACTCTGCCTGTGGCTCTTCCCATGGCCCACTGCTCCTGGACACAGCTGGGGGGCTCTGGTAAACAGAGTGGTTGTAAGTGACATTTAGTGTGGTTCCAGCTTGTCATGTGAGGTGCACATAGTGTACCTCACAGGGGGCCCCAAAATGTCTTGGAATTGCAGTTGCACTGCTTCAAAATGAAATTGAATATTGGCTTATTTACCCAAATAACTAACAGTTGCACTTGTGGATGACAAATAATTTCTGTTATAAAACCCTGCTAATCTTGTTGATAAGGTGTTGCTTTTCCAAACAGGCATGTAAAGAATGATAGTAATTTTGTCTTCTAAATGATTAGTTCTTGCACACTGTAGAACATTCAGTATTTGATCTTAACTCAGTTTATATACCAGTAGCAACTCCCAGCGAGTCTATCTAAAAAATAAATAATGGGGTTAGAAATAATCTATTTTCCTTAGGATTTGCTGTCAAATCCTAGAGGTAAAAAATGACAAAATATGCACTCCATGTATTAGGTATGCTTGTTAAAATGCAGACTATGATAACACATATATTTTAAATAAGGATTCATTTTAATCTCCTCTTCAAAAATGTTTGGTTAAATCTTGTTCTGAACTTGATTTGAATTTAAGTGCATTCCCCTCCTTTATCATCTTCTGTATATAACATATTTATATGAAATATTACTTTCCTTTGCTAACATCAGTGATAGATAAGAGTAATCTAAATTTGATATCCCAGCAGTTCAAAACTTCTAAAACATGAAGTTATTAAAACAGTTTGGTCCTTTGAATTCTTAAACCTCTTTAGCTTCAACATTTTCCACATGCTATTTCTCTCTCTCTCTTTGACACACACACACACACGCACACACACCCCACATTTTTAAATGATGTCTATTAAAGCAACGTTGGAAGCTTCAATTCTATAGTCGGTCTTCAGGGTTTGTTTTATCTGTTCCTTTTTTTTTTTTTTTTATTCCATATCACATATCAGTGAAACCATATCACCCGTAATGTTGAAACACCAGGAGGGTTTTCATTTTTTTTTTTAAAGAGTTATTTTATTTATACAAGAGCCTGGGTACAGTTCAGATGCGCAGGAGGGTGAGAGGATTCACCAGAGACAGAACGGGGAACAGAAAAGGCAGACTGATGAAATACACTGCTGAGGGGAGTAGCGGGTGAGACAGGAGAGGTCTGCTCACCGTGTGGGTTGCTCTGAGGCTGGTGGGGATCGAACTGGCACTGCAGAAGCTGCAGACAGCTTCACAGCGCTGCGCTCAACTGCCAGCGCCACCAGGGAGGCCCTAGGGTTTTCATTTTTTATTTTAATTCTGCAAGGAGTGATACTGCCATGTGGATAAATAAGGTTGTAGCCAGTACTCAGTTGGTCACGGCTCTATTCTCCATGAAATGAGTGGCCGGCAGCAAGTCTCTGCTCTTAATTTGGTTCTGAAGGAAATACTGAAAATGGATTATCATAAAATCACAATTATTGCTCGATGTCTGTTAGCGTACAATATGAAAAATTGGTGAGCAGTATGTCTTTCACACTGAAATATGATGACTTTTGAGGGGAAAGGTGTTCATATAAGTTTCTTTTAGGTGGTATTATCAATTATGTCAATGTTCAGCTAAAATATCTGCAGTTTAAATGTTGGAGATGAGATGGCCAGATTTTCTGAAAAGACCAAACTGTTTCAAGCGGTTCACTGACCAAAAAATCAAACTTTCCTAAACTTGTTGGCTTCCTTGGTTATGGGACAAAGTGCCCCACGGTGTATTCATGGACATATTTAATGGATAAATGCTGTGCCCAAAGATGGTGCAAAGAAGCACCTTGCAGAGTAGGTGTACCCAGAGTGGATGCAGAATCCATTTGCTGTTGTCCCTCAGATTGAGGCCTCCAGGCCTCTCACTTGGGAGTGTGGTGAGGTCAGTGCCTGGGAGCTGTCCATTCTCAGGTAGAAGCGCCCTGGTGTGGTTAGATCCACGAATCAGCCTGAATGTCTCTGATGCATCAGCTAATGCTGTTACTTTTCCCAGTCGATCTGTGACTTAGGATTTTTAAATTTAGTAGAAATAAAAAGTAAAAATGGGGAAAAAAGAGAGTTAGAAATAGAAACTACTTCCAGTTGGGGCTGAGTGCCATCGGGCAGGATCCATATGTTCATTAATTAATTCTAAATCTAACAGCTTTATTGAAAGAAGATTCTCATTCTCCTTCTAGTTCTCCTTCTGTCTCCCTCTGCCTTTTTGTTCCCTTTTCCCTTTTCCTCTACATGGAGTCACTGTCCTTTTCTTGGCCACTCGATGTTGGATTTGCTCAAGACTTGGTCCTCTTTCTGTTGTCTCTTCAAGGCCGTCTCCTAGGTAGACAGGCTCTTGGGTTTATACTTCGAGTCGGAGACTTGCTGTGAACTCTCAGATATAGCACAGTCTCCCCCCGCACATCTAACGCTACGTGTACATTTCTGCCCCACCTGCTAGTGATCCTCCATCTCACCCTGCTCTGTGTCCTCATTAGTGAATGACATTGTCCCCAAGTTGTGCAATCCAGAAACCTCAGGACTATCCTGATGTGTTCCTTTTCCCACTGCTCATCATCCAGTTCATCCTTGTGTTGTGTGATTCTTGTTTCTTGCATTCTTTTGAAAAATGTCTGTTTTGTATCATTTTCCATCATGACCACTCCAGACAAAGCTACTATTATCTCTCCCTTCGGTTTCCCCAACAGCTTTCTAACTGCTCTTTCCTGCCTCTGCTTTGCAACCCTACACACACAGAGTTCAGAATGTCATGGAGGGTGCAAAATATATCTCTGTGCCCTCTCATTTAGGTGGTAGCTGGAACTCCATTCTCGGCAGTTTAGAGGTCTAGTCCTTTGGCATGGTGTCCAGGCTCTTGTCTTCTCCCTCAGGGCCCACTGGCTCCTCCCCACCCCACAGTTTCTCCTGCTCTCCTCATCTCCTGTTCCTCCAACTTCTGGGACTTTCTTTCATCTGCTCCTACTAGAATCCTTTATTCCAGCCTGCAGGCCTTTGTAACTTCCCACGCCACCCTCTATACAAGGCTTCTCATCCTCTTTCAATTAATCCTGACTCATTCCTCACATTTCAGCCTTAGTGTCATTTCTTCAAAGAAACCTTTCCTGTCTCCACGACAAAGTGAAATTCCTCTGCCTCTTTAAAATTAAGCAGTAATGACCAAGGGTTAGTCATAAAGAATCACTTAGTTTTTGTTTTGATTTTTTAGTAGTTTCTTGTTTTGTTTTTGATGCTTGTATTCTGCTTCCAGCTCTTAAATCCTCTATTCTGATTGCTTGATCTTTATTGACTGTAAAACATACATAAATAAGATTTAATGAAAGAGATATGAAAGAAATTTCTAGGAATCTTTAAATCACCAATAAGTTTTAGACTAACCTTTTAGACTAACTATTTGAAGATTTATACTCCCATTTTCTTTAAGTTGGGCAGTTTGTTAACTAAATAGATAGTAATCTATTTTTATTTTGGGACGTTCCAGGACTTCAGACTCTCCCATTTCAAAAATCTTGCCTTCTCAAAAAATTATGTATTGGACTAAAATGTTTCATTTCTAATTTTAAGAAAGAATTACAGATAAAGTTGAAGCTGTATGTGCTATTTCTTGGTTCCTTCCTGTCTTTTCCTACCTAGAAATAACTACTTTTCTGAATTTGATCTTTCTCTTTCCGATTTTCATATGTGTGTCATCTACATAAAACACTAAGTATTACTTACTTGAGAAGGTCCTGTCTTCTGCAACTTGCTTTTGTCATGTAACAATGTCTACAGTTTTGTCCCTTCAGTCTGTGTGGTCCAGTTCCTTTACTTTTACTCCTCTCAGCGTGCACTGTTGTGTGACATGCCACAGGCCCCCATCCTCCAATCGTAGATACAGCACGCTTTGTGCATTTTACTGTTGGTAGATT